TGCCCTTTGAAAGTTGGGCAGTTGGCAGGGAATCCGTCCGGAAATTTTAAGGGCATTTTTGGTCTTTTCCCTAGCCATTTCTTTGGGATTATATTGTTGTATTAGGCTGATCTTTGGATCATTTTGTCCCATTTTAAAAGAGAAAGAGTTAGGGTTCTTGAGAGTGAAGAAGAGAAGAAGAAGAGAAGAGGAAAAGAAGAGGAGAAAGAGGAGATCAACAAGTTTCCATCGTGGATTTTCGTCGGGGTGATCCCTATCAAGGTATGTGAGTTCTTAGTGTGGGTTGATCCTTTCCCCACACACCCAACTCAATTTATTATTGAGAAAGATTAGTTTGTTGTTGAAGTTGATGGTTGTGTTGTTGATATTGTTGATTGTGTTGTTGAAGTCCCTTGTGATTTGGGACATGTTTCCGGTTGGTTTTTGAGTTGTAATATGTTGAATATTAAGGATTTTGATTCTAAATGTTTGGGGCTGGAAACCTTGAAGTTTAGAAGGTTTAGAGTTGGAGTAAAGAAGGAGAAAAGTCAAAGTTGTCGGAGAAAAGGGGTGGCGCGTCGCGCCTTGCAGAGCGCCCCAAGAAGTGCTCTGGCCTTCATCCCTTGGGGCTCCGCGCCATGCAGAGTGCCTCAGCTGGCCCTCTGAGCTTCAAGGGCTGGGCGCTCCGCGCCTTGCAGAGCGCAAGGACTCCAAGTTTCCCCCATTCTTTCACACTTTCTCATGCATGTTCCTAGGCATTGGTACCTATGTTTTATAGTTGTTTCCAACATTCTAAGGTACATTTAGACATCCCGAATTCATCCATAAACATGTGATCATATACCTTGAATCCATAGTTCAATTCAAGGCAAGTTAGGATCGAAGTTAAGGGAAAGTTAGAGTCAAGTCAAGCAAGTTTAAAAGAAAGTTCAAGCAAGTTTTTAAAGTTATTCAAGAGTCTTTATTGAATGTTTTAACTTCATTTTAAGGCTCAAGTTTCCAGTCAAGTTCAGTTAAGAGTTTCAAGTTCAGTTAAGAGTTTTCAAGTTGAGTCATTTCTCAAAGTTATTAGGGAACTATGTATTCCCAAGGAAGTTTTAAAGAAATGTTTTACATTTAAACAAGGTTGGAAACTGAGATTTCCAAAAGAGCCTTCGGGCTAGTTTTTGAGTAATTGTCTCATATTAGCAGGAAGAAATATCTTTTAAAAAACATAAGAAGCCAGTACATTTTTGGGAGTAGTATTGAGCAACGAATTAGGGGAGCGTTCAAAGAACCCACAGCCCCCATAGAACCATGTTAGCCACTATGGGTAGAAAAGGATCATACTTTTAGATGAATCCTTTTCAGATTAGACTAGTGGATCCATTAGGCAGTTCAGGTCTTATACATTTGGCCGGGTATAAGATGCTCTGGCAGCGTGAGGTCGATCCTGTATCATCACTATAGCTCTTATGTGATGGTTGTCGGTTAGGAGAAAACTTCCACTGCATTATTGTATTTTCATACACATACATTATTGTATTCTTATACATCAGTTCATTGTATTTCTATATACATCTCAGGCTTATTTGTCTTTGTACACATACAAAGTTATAGCATGTTTTAAACAGTCTTTCTTTATATCGCACTTGTTTTAAATTGCCTTATATTGAAATAAGTCAGTCAGGTTAAGTTGAGTTGAGCCAGGTAAGCTATTTTAGTTTCTTCCAGATTTCCTTCTAGCCTTTGTTGCTTAGTTTTCCAGCTCTCATACTCGTACATTCCATGTACTGATGCCAGTTGGCCTGCATCTTATTATGATGCAGATATAGATACCCCAGATCAACATCCTACACGTCGTTGATCCAGCTGAGCACTCCAGAGTCAGTGGTGAGCCTCCTTGCATTCCGGAGGACTCAATTATTTTGTGTTCTTAGTTTTGTTTTATTAGGGTGTTGCGGGGTCTGTCCCAACATCCATCTCAGTATTAGAGGCTTCATAGACAGTCATTCAGTTAGTATTGAGTCTCTCATCTATATGTATATATATAAATATTCTATTTTGGAGACTTGAGGTGCCTTTTTGGCCCAGATTTGTATCAGTTAAGTGTCTTAGGACTTGCATTGCATGAAGTATTCTGTTGAGTTAGGTTTCCGCTGAGTTAAGAAAGCCAGGCCAAGGTTCGCTTGGGGCCAGCAATGGTCTCCCGAGTGCCGGTCCCGCCCAGGGTGTAGGCTCGGGGCGTGACACTTTTCTTGTGAAGATATTATAAGCTTACTTTTCTTGTGAAGGTTATTGCTGAATTTTACAAAAATTAATCTCATAGTGAGAAATTTATATAAATATTATCGGTGTATATAAGTTAAAACACTTTTAACAATTCAGCTACTAGTAATCCCGGTATTCAATTTGTGAATCTGGTTCATGTTCATGATTTGATGACAAAAACTACATTTTGCATAATCTCTCTTCCAATGTAGTAGCAACTAACATAATTTTATCATAATCCATCGCTAATTAAATCCTGATATCATCAAATTTTGTTGTTTAACTATGCGTTTTGTCCCTCGTTAATTCCTATTCTTTAGTAATGTCTGATAATCTTGAAATATATTATGAAAACACACCGTGAATTCCTTTTTAGCTGGCTGAAAAAGAAAAAAAATAAATCAACTATGATTTTGCTTAGTAAATCTTTTCTTATTGTTTATATTATATAATTTTAAATTGATTAAGATTTTTCTTATATAATTTTCTATTTCTTTTTTGAATTTTTTCTTATATAATTCTTTTTTAAATATGTGATATAACATATACCCTCCATGCTAATAATTATCTTATATTTAGCAAGTGTTTGACCATAGATCCTTAATTAGATTTTGAAATTTGAATGTTTATCTTTCACTCACAAAAGTTCAAGTTATCTTTCAAGTAAAATGCATCTTCAAACACAAATTCAAGCTTCAAAAAATCCAACTTTCAAAAACTCAAATTTTAAATTTCAAAATTAAAAATTTATACATAAATGGAAGCTTAGTAATCTTGAAATCAACTAAAAAAATTGTTATTAAATCATTTCTTATCTTATCTTAAACTATGTAGAAAGTTCAATATTTAGAACTTTAAAATTAATTCTAATTTTAATTATATCTTATAAATTGTTTCTTATTCCAAAAAAAAAGTAACACAACTATAGTTCTTTCCATATTATATAAACTATAAGTCATTTTTCAAAATATATTTGAACTAATTTCTACTTAAACCATTGTGTTCTATTCCATTGAATTTTTTTGTATAATGTTTATAACTACGCTCACTAATTAAAACAACATAACTTAAAATATTTTTAAAAATACCAAGAGAGATGTTTAATTTGATAAAGGTACCATGATTCTGCAGAAAAAAATATCCAAAAATGAAATATTAATTTTTTTACCTTTCAAATAGGAGTCTTATTTGGTAAAAGTATAATTATATATCAAATATATTAAAAAACTTTGAATTTAATTCAACTTTCAACAAATACTAATGGAAAGAACTTGATGACACACCCTTAAAAATAAACTTAGCTGCTAAAGCCAATTGAAATGATATTCGTCCTCAATGCCACGTCATGCTATATATATTCTTGAACTCCTAAGTCTATTTTTACTTGTCAAATTAATACATCAAAGATAATTTATAATTAAATTCCTAATTATTTTTATTATTAACTATAGTCATTTTATAATGCATTTTTCAAAATATTAAATGTATTATACTCAAATAGTAATATAGTCAAATCGACATTCTATTAATTAATGCTCCATGAAAGGTGTGCCAAGTCAAAACTATTTCTAACACTAAAAAAAGAACTTATCATGTGCAAATTTGGAAGTTACTTCAATTTTCGAAGTAATCTTTTGAATTAATCAATTATCCATTATCGACTACAATTTATATGTTAACAATTATATGAAAGCACTTATATATACATTGTTCTTATGGGTATATCATAATAATAATACTTTTCTGTTCTGGTGAAAATCACGTAGCTTTTACTGTTAATACTTGAGATAATCAGGTTTGTTTTTTGTTCATTCTTTTAATAATTTTTTCACATGAAATTTTTTTCTATTTGTTTTGCAAAAAAAAAAAATCTATTCTAATTTAAATCTTTATGTGAAAAACTTTTTTTTTCTTTTGATTGTAAAAAATGAAAGCCTTAGCGCGCTCTGATAAGAAAGTCTTTTGTTTCCGTGGGCATTTGAACATAAAATTTATGAAATTTTGAAAAAGAAAAAAGGTAAGCATTTAGACAAAAGTTGAATTGATTTCTCCACCTGGTTACTGAACTAATAATTAAATGCCATCTCAAAAAGTCATTTTTTTGTTGAAAAGAATTGAATCAACAAGAAAGCTATTTTGGAGATGACAAATATTAATTGAGTGAGCCCATCAAAGTTTTTTTGTTCATTGGTAATATTCTTATTTTCATTTTTTTGATCTTTATGTCTGAACACCAAATTTAAGCATTTGAACTTGTATCTATCAATCTCTTATATTTTAAATTTTCTTTTAAGTATTTTCTATGTTTTCTCAGGATTCAATATGGAAACCACTTGCATTTCTGGTTCAAAATTAAAAGGAGTTGTGGGAGAACATAGTGGTCATTGCACTAAGGTATGTGTGCGCACTATTCTCATTGAATTTCACTTTTTGTTGTTGTTTCATGTCACACTAGAAATATTTTCTCATAACGATCCACAAGAAGTTCAAATTCGTAAGAATTTAATTTATATACACCATTAGTATAATTTTTTTG